CTCAGTGTGCAGAGTTTGCCTCACCCTGTGGTCTAATTTGGAAAAGAAAGTGGAGCTGCTTGGACCCTGGTATTTGGCTTCTCATTGTGGCTGGAGTTTGTTCACCCAGCCAGAGACTAACAGGCTTAGCATGGGAGTTCAGGCAATACCACAGCAAATGCTAAACTAGACCTTTATTTATGACGGCTCTGGATGAGTGTTAATTATTAGCTGAACACAGTATGTTCTAGAGGCTGTTTGCATTACAGCATGGGAAGGGCCAACGGCATGTAAAATGTGTGTGTTGGTAGGCAGAACAGCAGAGCAAACCACTTCAGAAAAGAATAGGGGTTTTTTGTTGTTTCTCTTCACTACATACACAGTTTTTATTCATGCCATGTAGCCATAATGAGGGATTTCCATGAAATTATTTAGGAGATTATATTCAAATATGATTTTATTAAGACAGAATGGATTAACATGGTGATGACGTGCAGCAGGTATATAGGAAGTGCTGACTACATCAGATATATTTCTTGTTAATAGTTGTTTGGAATTCTGGGTTAGGTGTTTTCTTGTCTCTTATGAATCACTGTAGCAGTTTGCAAAAGGGAAAATGATACATGATATAGAACAGAATAGTTTGCTAGGCATGAAAGGTATTTGTTGTGATTTTAGGAATGGTGGTCTGAAGAGGCTTCCTTCTGTCAGATTGCAAAATTAATGGGAGTTTTAGATCCATAGGGTTATTTAAAAGAAGAAAGGAAGAATATTAAAGTGTTTTGTATAGGACCCTGTACTGTTCTTTCAGCTACTAAGCAGCACAAATGTCTTATGTTCTTTAGAGTCATGAAACCATTCTCTGAGCAGTGTACATGTGTTTTGTGTATTTTCACTTATTTATAATGAACTACTTCACAGAAATAGCTGTTCTTAAACAAGCTAGCAAAACTTTCATTGTGATGGCTGTAACTATGTACCTTATTAATTTACAATCTCACTTTTAATTGGTCTGCCTGGAAATAGGAAAACATAATTATTTTTCTCCTTTGTTAGATGGTAGAGAATGTAGGAAGGGAAAGGGGTCCTGGGCTTGCTAACTGACCAGGCATTAGCAGACTTCTGAATTAAATCTGTCTTGGGGGTTTGTCCTTGTGATATGTGCATCTTTGTACAATTCAATTATTTGAACATTCCGAGTTAAAAAAATGAACAGGTGAAGAGTGGAAATGTAGTGAAATGAAAATCAATTACTTTGAATTGAATGCCCTATGAACAGTCCTCATAGAAAACACATGGAATGTGGTGCAACATCTGATTGATATAATTTTGAGGTCACCTCCTTATTTGGCCCTGAACTAAATTATTTGAGCAAGGCAGGCAGCCTCCCCTTTCACAGGAATGCAGGTTACTTTCCATAGCTGTTCCAGTTGGGTATGTTTGGTATTTGTGTCAGCTTTCGACAAAGACATCTAGCAACTTTAAGTATGGTGCAAGGAAATGTTTGCACTAGAAAATGGATAGAGAAGTCAGTTGCTAGAATAGAAGTATGCAAAAATTGCTGTACTCTTAGGGCTAAATCTTGCTTTCAACTGTGAATAGAGGGACTTTCTAAAAGTCACAGCCAGAAGGAGAAATGCAAGCCACTTATGATCAGGAAACACCATATCCTTTCCATACTGGAAGAGTTGGCTTTCATCAAGACTTTCCCATCCTAAGCTGGTGGGACAAGAAGGTGGTGTTGGCAGGACAGACCAACCTCACCCCTGCATTATGCTCGTATCTGCCTTGAATAATGGCGTGCATACTTAAAACATGAGCGTAAGCTAGTAATGCTATGCAGGGTGGTGGTAGTACATGACTTGGTGGTGGATTCGGCTGTGTTAGGTTCATGGTTGGACTCGACAATCTTAAAGGTATTTTCCAACCTAAATGACTCTATGATTCTACATAGATGACTATCCTGGTGGATGTTGATTTCTCTCTCTCTTGCTACTGGATGAGCCATTATCGTAACAACCTTGCAGGGCATGGGAAGAAGGGTATTATGGGATTTTAGTGTCCCACAATACTTACAGAACCTGATCCAAAGTCACTGACACCAACTTGCTCCAGTGCTTTCTGACTACAACCAGAATTTCTAGGTGTCCTAGAAGGAAAGGTTTGATGAATTTATGAAGAAATTATTTCAGTTCTCTGAAAGGCTGATTGTTAGTGTCCCTACATATCTGATCCTGAATCCTGACTGCTCTGTCAAGTTCATGATGAAGTATTTGCCTACTGTTTATACATGAATTTCTGCAATTTTTGAAGGACAAAAGAGACATAGCTGTGTTGTGAGTGAATAGAAAGTAAAAAGAGGATAGGCTGGTAAAATAAAGATTGAATTTGTAAGCTTGAAATCCATTTAACTCATCTCAAGTGCAGTACAGTGCAAACCCCCTGATTCAAGGTCTGCTAGTTATGTGTGCCACAGCACTGTCATGATCCATCAAACCTGCCAGATAAAGAGAGGCTATTTTAAAATTTCTCCTTCAGGGCACGGGGAAGTACTGTTCTTGCAAAGATAGAAATTTATGATGATGCTAAAAAAAATGCAGATGAAGTGAATAATTAATGAATTCAAGACAGGACTGAAATATCTTCCTAAAATACCGCTATTTTTAGCAGGGAGTGCTTCTGCAGTGCTTGTCATGTGATCCTACTGCCTTCTGAGAGCAGGAAAACAATTTGAATTGGTTTCTCTTTCCCCATGGACCTATATAGGTCCAGCATATAATATCCCTTAGCATCTGCTTCTGTCTTAAAGCAAAAAAAGTGATTTTAAACCTCATGCAAAATAAAACACCAATGAAACCTATACTTATAGATAATCTTAATTGCAGCTGAATATTTTTCATAGTAGTTTGTTCTTTTGAGGCTGTACAAGGGGAATACTGCAATGGGTGTAACTTGCAGCTGCTGCTGGTCCAGTAGTACTCATTGCAGCTGCGTTTTTGAGCTGGCAAAGGACATAGAGACAATTATCAACTGGAGGTTGCAGGGTCTGGCCCATAGATAAGGGTTTAATGTGACAGATTTGTGCTTCTTTTGCCTATAACCAGTATAGAGTGTTGCTGTGTTTGAGCTACTTAGAACATTAAAAATGTCATAGTCAGAAATGCCTCTAAAATAAGTTGTTCTATCCACGCAGGATACAACTGCTGCCACAGTGAATTTTCAAGTGTTTAATATGTGAAACCTGGTCCTGTCAGGGATTTCTCCTTACTGAGTGGTAATGAGGTACCCAGTACTCATTCAGTCAGAAATCAGAAGCTACTCACTTGCTGCCTTTCTTGCCTACTGGAGTTGCCACATGTTGAATTTAGAAGAAACCTTAAAATCCCAAACCTTTAGGCACTGAGGAGGACCCTGGCTTTGCAGCTCAGTACCCAGTTTGTACAGGTGTCGAGGGGTGCTGACTTGCTTTCCCCACTCGCATGCGGTTTGCTTTCCCCACATGGGATGTTTACTGGGTGGCTCCTGTAAGGTGTGTAAGGCTCCTTGGACCTGGCTGGGACCCCAGTCCTCAATCCTGGTGAGCTGCAGAGCTCTACCCTGGGAGTAAAGTGCTTGCCATGCAAATCAGCAGTGAAACATTTGGGCCAAAACATTACTTTGAGAAAGGGTTGTGAGCTGAGTCTCAAGCAGCAGAGGTGGCCCCAACTGCACCTGCAGCCCCAGGGCAAGATGCAAGCTTTGGTGACGGTGGACTTTGGAAAGCTTCTGGATTAAGTCATGGAAGGTGG